AAGTCAGAAAATGTAAATAACTTGACAAAAGAGCATTTACCCTCTTTTCACGAAGTTGTTAGTATTAGAATTTCTGGATCTTCCTCTGATAATAATTCATTTCTTCCTTTTGGGTTCCTTACAGTGAAGTCACTGTTCTGGTTATTACGTTCTAGTCTGCAGCTCTGGGAATGATTGATATCCCAAACACAAGAAATCATAACTTCTTTCTTTAGGCCTAGTCTCAAAGACAAGCACTAACTTTTTTTTTTTTTTAAACTCAAATGCAAATAGGCTTGGAATGCACTGTTTCATGCCATCCTTTCCATTCTAATTTACATAATCAGTTCCACTCCAAGAACCTTGATTTTTTTTTTATTTTTTTTTTACTATGAGTGGCCCACCAGAACTATATTGGAAAAAGCTAGTAAAGAAGCTATTCAATGCACCATCTATGTTCACTCATCAGCTCTTCTCCCTCATCCGGAGCAAATACTCTCAAACTACAGCAATGGTTGTTGGTGATAGGCTAGGGATTTTTTTCCCCCTCATGGCATAGTGTCCATAAATTACATCGAGTGTGGGTTCTGCGTGTGATTTTTGGGTGGCTCTGTGAAAGTAAGAAAGGTGCAATTGCAAATGGTGGCAGTGTTTCCTGTGACATGTAGGAAAATTGACATGAGTTGGTGACCTCTATTCTTTGTAGTGATTATGGTAATATGTTTTTTTTTAAAGTTATTTGTACACAGAGTTCTACACATTATGGCCGGAGTTAAGGCTGTATGTTGCTTATTCAGTATTAGCTAGGAAATATGAGCTGTGCATGGTTTTTTATTTTTCTTTAAAGCATTTGCCTTGATGGATAATGCAACTTTGAATTAACTAAACTATATCTCTTCCCTCCCCCTTTTGCCAGACCCCATATCCAGCCTATGCCACTTTCTGTGCCCCTGCCTTCCTGCTATATTCAGTTTTTTAAACATTTTTGTATCAATATGTAATAGCTAAATGTGGTATAGAGGGGAGTAGGTTGCAGAGTGGCCCACTTGAAGGTATGCAGAAATAGGGCTCTGTACCCCCCCTTCCTCAAGTCTCTGTGTGATAGGGATGTGAATGGTTAACCGGTTTACCAGTGGGGGCTAGCATAGCTTCTCTCCTGTGGTGGGCAGGGGGCTGCTTCAGCCTCATAGGGCCTGGCCACTGCCCACCCTACTTTAATTGGTTAACTGGGTAACCAGTTAAATGGGATTTTACATCCCTAATGTGTGATGGACAGAAATTTAGAATTGGGACTTGACCTGTGAGGGGGTGGGCTGGAGAAAGTTGTTCTGTGAATTGAGCTGCCACAGAGGGGCTGGTACACATCTCCTTGATGAGGGTAGCATTGAGTTCGGCCTTCACATTAGAACTAAAATGTCTGTCTCGTGTTGGAATGACTGAATTCACTCTCAGATTTGGCACAGTAACTCTTCACGGGACAAATGGCTTTTCTGTTTGTGTGTTAAGCAAACTATTTATTGACTCTTGTAAAAGAAATATTTATAAATATTCCCTGCTGAAAACATTGTGCTGTATTCCTCATGTTTCTCTAGGTCTCTTGATATACAAGATTGTCAAATATAGCAGTAAAGAGAGTTGTATAATCAATAGTTAAATTGTGCAACTTGCCAAATATGTGTTTGTGTTCTGTTTAATCCTTAAGAAGTTATATCCTTACACTGTGCCAAAAAATACAAAGACACACACACGAAACCCACAGGCCTACTACTGCCAAACTGATTTCTTTTTTAAAAATAGAACTGGGTGTGCAAACAGGAAAAGGGAGAAATGAATTTAATGGACAAAAAAGATCAAGTCTATGCAGACATCTTAACGAGCCAGCTGTTTGAGAAGATACAGTAATTGAGGGGTGGAGGGACTAATTCCGGTAAACTGTATATTTTTAAAATACTTAAATTGCTAGAGCAACATTTTTCTTACTGTGTGTGCTTACAAGCAAATCCCAGCCTTAATTTGATAGGTATATCCATTATTTTTAAACCTCTATAAAGCTGTGCCACAGTTAATTTATCTTTCAAACACACACCTCCAGCCCAGTCATTCTTTATTGTTGCATTGTCCCCATGCTTAGGGCTCTTAAGGGGGTGCGTGCGCGTAAACCTGAATTTCAGTAGACGCTCAGTCAGAACTTACTTGCAGGGTCCTTTTGAAAAGTTCAGCTGGAAGGGTTTGGACGGACTTGTAAGTGTGCTGCTCATCACTGTTCATAGGAGAGTATTCCCTTCACAACACACGTCAAAGCTGAACTTAACCCCCTGAGTACCACAAGCCAAAATGGAGGAAGACTTTCTCTTCAGCTCCACCTCTTAAACCTCTAGTCTCCAGACAGTTCTATTGGATAAAGCGAGTGCATTACATGTGCCCTTTCCCTCTCTGACAGACCTCTTCCCCATCCCTGCCCTCCATCTATAGAGCTTGGCCCGGATACACATTCCTATCCATGGATAGAAATTGGTATCAGCTGAAGAGCAGGGCTCTATTCCTGGGAACTGCAGTGGCAAACAGAGGAATGTGGCTGTACCGCTCACAGTCCTTCCACAAAGCTGTATCACCTTTTTGGGGTCCTACAGCCTGCTAGGGGTGGTACAGCCATGAGATGGGAAGGAGTTTCCCATGCAGGATGCTGACTTCTGGAAGCAGCAGCACCATGTTCTTCCTCTCTTCCTGCTTCAGTTCCCAGGAGTACAGCCCTGCTGTTCCACAGACACTGGTTCCAGCTGGGAGCCTGTGGTTGCGTGCAGAAGCCGGGCGGGGGGAATGGCTTGGCGGGTGGGGCGCAATCAGCACTGGGAGCCCTCAACTGAGGAGGAGTGACGCCTTGGGGCGGAGGAGAAGCCCTGTCCCTGCTCCTGAGCACTGTTCAAGCGTGTTGTGGCACCGTAGTCCAGGAGAGAAGCCCGCAGGTGCTTTGTAGTTATGTTTAGACGCCTTCCATGGGCTCTCAGCCAAAACTGACTCGGGTGGAATTTCTGCTTCTTTCCACTGGGACACCCAAAGACAGCTATGGGAGAGTCACCTTCCTATCCATGGTCCTCTCCCGCCCATCCTCCCGCCCTGCCATTGTGTTGTCCCTGGGTCTGTCCCTCTCTGCTTTGAGTAGCAAGTGGCTGCTTTGCAGAGCAGGCTCTGGTGCCTCTCACTTTATTCCCAGCTTGGTGGATCTTGGTAGTAGCCACACAGGATGTGAGTGGTGGTGTTTTGGTTTTTTTTTTGGTTTGGTTTGGTTTGGTTTTTTTTGCTCTGCTCAACAAATTTTTTATTTTTTGGGAGACCGTCTGGCAACCCTAGCTCTCAGTGGTTCCTAAATGTTGGACTTAAGCACCCAAGTGCTTTTGGGAACTAGCTGCGAGTGACATGCCCAAGCTCACAAAAGAAATCTGTGGAAGAGCTAAGATGAGAAAGTCCTGATGCTGCCAGATGTTTGGAAAATGTATTTCAAATCAGGGCCTTTTGCTCTTCACTAACCAGGGTAGACTGATTTATGTCAGTGTCTGGAAGTATGATTTGACATGCAGAACATACCTTCATATAACTCTCAGAAGCTGGGGAGGTGGCTAACTTACTACTTGATGATGATAGAACTGTTTGTGCTAGCTAAGATGTTCTCACTTGCTAGTATATATGGAAAAAAATGCAGAGAATACTGATTGCAACAACAAAAGATTGGAATCGCTAACAAGTTTCATGCACATTAGGGATGAACAGGATGAAGTTTAATAAGGACAAATGCGAAGTACTGCACTTAGGAAGGAACAATCAGTCTCACACATACAGAATGGGAAGTGATTGTCTAGGAAGGAGTACTGCAGAAGGGATCTAAGGGTCATAGTGGACACAAATTAAACATGAGTCAACAGTGTGACACTGGTGCAAAAAAAGCAAACATGATTCTGGGATGCATTAACAGGAGTGCTGTAAGCAAGACACGAGAAGTCATTCTTCCGCTCTACTCTGTGCTGATTAGGCCTCAGTTGGAGTATTGTGTCCAGTTCTGGGCACCACATTTCAAGAAAGATGTGGAGAAGGCCCAGAGAAGAGCAACAAGAATGATCGAAGGCCTAGAAAACGTGAACTAGGAAGGAAGACTGAAAAAGCTGGACTTGTTTAGTTTGGAAAAGAGAAGACAAAGAAGGGACATGATAGCTGTTTAAGTATTTAAAAAGGTGTTATAAGGTAAAGGAGGGAGAAAAATGGTTCTCCTTGGCCTCTGAGGGTAGGACAAGAAGCAATGGGCTTAAACTGCGGCAAGGGACACTAGTCCCGGCAGCTCGTCTCCACAGCAGGAGGCCAACAGGAGCAAATACTCCTGCTGGCTTCCCTTATGTCTTGTAAAAGGAGGAGTACTGGATGCTGGTGGGGGCAGCTTCTGAGTTTGATTTAGCAAATTTTAACTAAACTCACTAAATTGAATTCCAGAAGACAGATCACCGCTGCTGCAATTTTCCTTTTGGTGCAGGCAAGGCCTGGGAGGATAACTTTATTCTTTGACAGGTAATCCAGAACTACATATGTGTTAAGGAAGCCTGTTAATATTGGACACAATGGCAATAGAATTGGCACTTCCAACAAGCAGATATATATATTTTAACAAAAGTATCTGCAGGTTCCCTGCTCTTTTAACAAAGCTTTATATTTTGGAACAGTGATTTCTCCCCCTTTCCTTCTTTGGTAAGTCACCCCATCTGAGTGTGCAATTATTCTGTCCCCTGAGGTATACCTGACTGTTCAGATGGTTTTTAGCAAAATAATTCAACACCTAGTAATTATACGTTTTCAAAGCAGCCCGACAAAAAGGTTGTCTGGCTGCTAAAACACAGTTAAAATTATGAATTCTAGTCTAGCTTCCAATTTAGTAACACTCTACTTAGGCTCGTGATTACTTTTTATATGCTTAATTTTCTTAGGTGTCAGACATAGGACTGTTCTTTTTTCCACTCTTGATTGTTGTCTCTCTCTTGCAGGAGTTGATGCAGCAGAATGCTATCGATTATGTATTAAATGCAAGCAATACCTGTCCAAAGCCTGACTTCATCCCAGAGTCCCATTTCTTGAGAGTACCTGTGAATGACAGCTTCTGTGAGAAAATTTTGCCTTGGTTGGACAAATCAGTTGATTTTATTGGTAAGAAACAGAGATAAAATGGTTCAGTGCTAATTAGGCCATGTATTTTAAAAAAAACATTTTTACACATTTAATCCCCCCCAAAAATCAAAGAATTAAAATGTCTCATTGTCTTGTAGTATTGGAGAGTAAACAGAAGCACCAGATCTGCTTTCCATATTGCGATCATCATTTTTATATATTGCTCTTGTCCCTACACATACGTCTTCTCTCTAAACTCAGTATAATCCAATCTTTCACTTCTGCTCAAATTCAGGTCTCTCTCTGTCTTATTTCTGCTATAATTATTTTGAGATAGAATGAGTAGACCTGATTATGCTCTTCAGGCAACATAAACCGTGTAGAGTAGCACAATATTATTTTCATTACTGCTGTTCATTTGCTATGTACACTGACATTTTGCTTATTTGCGGGGGGCAAGAAGGGAAGAGCAGTGGTACATGCTAGCTTGAGGTTTTTATGGCGTTAACACTGAAGACTTTTTCTTGAGTGGTTACAGTTATGTTAAAACTCAGCAATGTTTCAAAGTAGTTCAACTGCTTTTACCAGTATAAAAGGCAATGCCATATACAGGTATAAAATTATATGTATCCGTATAGGTGTTTATGTATGTTTTAAAATATAGGCAAATAATCTGCAATCAGAAAATGTTAGTCATCTCTGGAATCAGTAATGGTGTATTCTCCTTACATAGTGGGTCTCTGTCAGTGTGATGTAGAAAGGACGACTGTTTTGTAGCTAACGTTTTGAGAAATCAGCCAAGATACTCCTGCTGACAGTTTTGTAGAGGGGATTTTTAAGGCACCAGAAGCAGTAAGAGCATCAGCGTATACGTTTAGAAGTGCCGTAAAAAGGGAAGTAGAGTTTAGCAGTAATCTGAGATTGATATTTAACACCGCTATAGCATTTAATAAATGTCATGTGTGAACAAAGATCTCTGCCATAATCTTTCTTCCAGGGACATTGTTGGGTCAAATTTGGCTTCAGACTGAAGATTTTGTAAAAATCAACTCATGCAAAAACTATGAAATATAACCCCAAATTTTCTGTACAACAATTGCCTAGTGGCTGTAGCAACAGCAGTGTGCTGGGAAATGGAAGCCTTACAGGTTAACAGGACTGTTCACATTAACTGACTTTTTTTGCTTGCATCCTAGAGCATAAAATTCCCCTCAGATCACATACCATGAGATGTAACTAATATTTTTAAATCGTTTAAATTGCTCTAAGTATGGGTTCAGTATGCTTATATATCCGAGGAAAGAGAGATTAAAATGTTGGGCTCTTCTCTTCCTTTATATCACCACCTCCATGATCCAAAACAGAAAGATGTGGGTGGGTGCGTGGGTGTTAGGGATGTAATAGTGTAGTCGATTAACTGCTTATAGGTTAATGCTGTAGACTACACACATTCCTTCCCCTCTCTCCCAGCAATACATTTTTTTTAGCAGGCTGGCCAGCAGCCCAGCTCAGTTTTGGCTCACGCCGGGTCCGGGACCTACCCCTGCTATAGCTCTGTACTTAAAGTGTATTACGAGCCTGGTGGGCAAGCAGCCTGGTTCAGTTCCAGCTCATGCCAGGTCTGGGAGCTCAAACCTCCCCCGGACAGGGGCTGCTGCTGCCTCTGTATCAGCCAGCCCACAAAGGGAGCTGGTTTTTAATTGGCTCCCTTTGCAGACCAGCTCCTGCTTGGCACTCAGTGCTATTGCCCCTGTCAGCGCACAGTGGCAAGGAGGCTCCTGGGGGGGGAGGGGCAGCATGTACTGGCTGCTGGCCCTGCCCCAGGGACTGTAGAATAGTTGAGTAAAAGATCAGAATTCATGAGGTTAATTGACTATTCAATTAACCAATATTTAACATGACGTGTGTGCGTGTAATGGTTACAGGTTTCCTTTAAAAAGAATTTACAGTAAGAGCTTGAACGTTCCAACACACTAATGATCAAGGTCCTGTTGAGTTCAGTGGACGGAGGGTGGGGAAGCCAAGAAAGCTGTAGTTTTGGGTCCTGTTCTCAGCTTTAACACTGCACCACGTGAACTTGGTCAAAAGTTCACGTTTTAATTTGTGTTGCATTTTTTTCCATGCATAAAATGGGAACAAATCCCTTCCACGGAGCCAGGATGATTACATAACCCATAGTGAGCTGGTAGCTTCTGTAATGCTGTAAATATACAGTAATATTCTTAATACCAGAACAGATTAACATGAATACAGGCAAGGAGAGACCATGCCAGTGATAACACTGATTGCTGCTTGAAGCATCCCTGGGATCAGTAATAGAACTTTAAAAGTTCACTTTTTTTATTTAAAACCTCCCTGTTAAAATATGGCCTCACCGCGTGTCATTGACAGTGACACTTCTTGAATTTTCCTTTTTTGTTGTGCAGAGAAAGCAAAAGCCTCAAATGGGCGAGTTCTAGTGCACTGTTTAGCAGGGATCTCCCGCTCTGCCACAATTGCTGTTGCATACATCATGAAGAGAATGGACATGTCCCTTGATGAAGCTTACAGGTAAGGATAGACTTTTCCTTTTCAATGAGCTGTTGTGCTTGTCAGCTTGAAAGTTGGCAGCATTATTTCATCATGTACTTTCTTCTTCATCCATGTCAGGCTTGCTTTGACTCAGCCCTGCTGTCAGTTGTAGGAAGTAAGAGCCTAATTAGCATTGTGGATACAGCAGCAAAATGAGGACAGACACATACGTGGAATGAAAGTTACAGGCTGCAATTTTCACTAAATGTTAATACATGAGGGATAATTGGGAATTGTCAGAGCATCTTACATGATGCTCAAAAGCTGTACTCACACAAATGAGGAAGAAGCACCATTTTAGTTTAAAAAAATGACCTGTTGTAGAGGGGAAATGAAGAAAGGGAAAGGTGATAGCTATGAATAAAATCAGAAGTTACAAATTGTAGTAAATAAGGAAAGGGATACAACATGGCTGGTTCCCACCACTGGCTCAGCGAGGGGGGGTCCCCGAAACGCACTGAGCCCACTGGGGTTTTCCCTGCCCCTTGCCCTGGGTTGCTTCCTACCCCCGCCTTGTGGCCGATGGAGGTCCCACCTGGCGATGCTGGGCTGGCGGCGGTGGCAACGTCAGCTGGTCCTGTCTCTGGGGCAGCAGCGCAGGGGATGTCCACTGCTGCGGGGCGGGCAGCCCCCCGGAGTCAGCGTTGGGGGTGTGGTCGCCCCAGAGCGGCAGTCCCTCCGGCTCTGAATCTGGCGGCAGGTCCGGCGGCGGGCCTGCAGCTTGGGCCGGAGCTCCTTCCTCCTCGGCGCTCTGCCTCAACTGAGCAGCCCGGAAGCCTTTTATAGTCAGGCTGCACTTCAAGCATGCCCAGTAGGGCTGTGGGGGAGGGGCGTGTTCTACCCAATAAACGGGCTCCTCTCCCTCCTGCTCAGTGCGGGGCAGGTTAGCCCCGTCACAGGGGCACTTCCTGATCATACTCCCCTATACCAGGCATATAATCGGTTCCCCTTGTGGGACTTATAGGGCTCCTTGCCATGTAACCCATAACATGAGGAAGTGGTTTGGCTGAGGAAAGCCACCCCAACACACTCCTTTGACTCCTAGCATCCTGCCCACCCTCCGCCAAACCCACAAGGAAACAGAGGCTATAGCAGTCTAGGGACCACTGCCCACAAGATCTGACCTGTCACATGAGCCCAAGTATTTTACCTCAGAGCAAGGAAGGGAGATATTTATCAAGGGACAATAGGTAGCTCCTCAGCTGATTGAAGTAGAAGAGGGATGCATTTTATTCTCTTAACTGCACTGCAAACTGACTGCAAGTTGCAACAAATAAATACCTCGCCAGGAACTCAGGTTAGGCACTAAGAATATTCTTATTTAACCTCCTGTGGCTTGAATGTGTCAAAGAAGGCTAAACTCCCTTGCCCTCTGCCAATTGACCCCTTAAACAGGCAATTGGATAAATCTGCATTAACTGTCAGGCAGGGTTCCCACTTTTACTTGGGATGAGTTGGGTGAGCTGCTAAAATGGAGACAAGAGAGGCTCTACATGTCCCCCTCTGCAAGCTAAATCCTGGGAGCTGGGCAATTGAGGACAGTCAGCACCTGTCGACCAGCTGACCAGTCAATGCCAGATACTCCCAGGAGGAAGAGAGAGCTACTGTCACTTAGTGTGTCCCCCCTTTGCTATTGGGACTGCCCCCTGTTCACCACTGGCCTCCATCAAGTTCCCTCTACTACTGATGTGGATGAGTTGCATTTTAGCTCCCAAATGCATAATGCAGTCTTGGCCTCCGCTCAGAGTAGGTAAGTGATAGAATGTTAACTAATAGTAATAGCTAGGAAGAACTAGAATATGCAGATGAGACCACATATATGCCACCATCTAGTAGCTTGTGCCAATATAAGCCACAAAGAAAGAGGAGAGAAACCAGAATAGCAAATGCTGTTTATATAGCTTGTGCACTTTTTAAAATGCATGATTGGATCTAATGACTCACCGGTGGTATTAAATGATATTCACAAATGGCTGGAGTGAATGTCTTCTAGAAATTAAGTAAACTGAAAGGTGACTCGTGTGTTGCCATTGAAGTCTGTCAATGGTATGTCAAAAGACTTTCAGAATGAACAGTTCTTTGGGCAGCTAAGGATTTTGTGCATGAATTTTTCTATCATGCTTATCAGGAGTTTTAGAATCTAGTTTGACTGTGAATGCTTTAGAAAGCTTGAACAGAGTTTTGAACTACCATTTTAATACTCCATCGACAAACCTTTTGGGGTTCTCAATGCCACAGAAAGCCAACTTGGCTTTCTTTTTTGTTTAGAGATAACAGCATCCTCAGAAATAATGTGCATTGTAAAGTCCCAAGAATATCTTTTTGAACACCTTCTACTAAGGAGCTAGACACACCTTTCAAATTACTACAGGTTTTGCTGTGATGTGGAAAAGGGTATTTGAAAATCTGCCTGGCGAGTAACTCCTTCTTGAGTGGCAGAATTAATTTCTTCTGGCTCTAATTAGTATTTCATTAGCTGGGATAGAAACTCTTTCATGGAAAAAAATGAGCAGAAAGGCTTTTGCACAAGAGGGGGGTTTTGCACAAAAAGGAGCCGTGTACACAGCTCCTTTTTGCACAAAAGCCCCTTGTGCAAAAATGTCGGCTCATTAAGTATGCAAATGAGGTGCAGGGATATTCAGTCACCTCGTTTGCATATTCTCTTGTGCAAGAGGGGGCAGTCTAGACATAGCCTTAGTTTTTAAAGTCTGTTTTCTACAGAATGAGGGAGTTTATCACTGTATCTCCTCAGAAGTAGTGATGACCATAGTCATGCAAAGCAATTTTCATTAGCTAGGGCAAAAAAGCTCAAATAAGGGCTGCTGCATGAACAAACAAGGCATTAGGTGGGACATAGATAAAAATACACTGTTTATATGCAGCAGTTACCTCCTTCATTCAGTGGGGCTGACAGCCACTAAGGGTCCCAGGGCAAGGCGGGTGTGGGAGGGGTGTGGTTGGGGGCGGTCCTTAGTGCTGCCCAGAGCACGGCTCAGCCTACCCACAGAGCTATGCAGAGTGCTGCTCTGATGCTCCTGTGGCAATTCCAAGTGGCCTGGGGCCCCAGGGCAGTTCCATTTGCTCCCCATCAGTGGGCCTGCTTTCATGAGGCAGACTGAGATTGTGTTGCAATCTCTTTACGTCGGCAACAGGAAGAGAAATGAAACGGGAGTTGCAGACTGATAGAAGTCCTGTACCTTTTCAAATGAAATTCTCACTGGCTCTCAGTAGTTGCAGTTAATTGAAGGAGTCCTTTTTCCAAACTTCTACAATTCATTCTAGCATGGTTCGGTCAATCAAGTCAAAGTCCTGTGCAAAGTTGTGATAATGGACTTTTCTTGACTCACACATCTATTAATGTTTGTAGCAAAGATGTAAAATCCCAGTTAATCAGTTAACCAGGATCTGGGTGAGGAACTACTGCAGCCTGGCTGGAGCAGAGTCCCCAGCCTGCAGAGCTCCCACGCCCAGCCCCCAATGGAGCAGCCCTTGCCTGCAGGGCACCCAAGCTCCCCATGGACAGAAGGGCACCTAGCCTCTGTTCAGGCTGAGCCTATTCTGAACAAAAGCAGCCCCTGTACACGGAGGGCTCCCTGTGGAGCTGGAGCAACCTCTTGCCTGTGGCAGGCAGGGAGCTGCTCCTGCCTCCATTAGTAACCGGTTAACCTTTCACATAGCTAGTTTGTAGATCCCAAAAGAAAAGGTTGCAATGCCTAGAAGGCTATCGTATTTTACTGTATTTTCCCTTTTCTACAGTCGACTAAGAAATTCAATTGTTTGTTGTTATGCGGTGCACAGTTTTCAAAAATGAAAATTGATAAAGGCATGTTTTATTTTTTTGAACTAGTGAAACAACCATAAAGTAACTTGTCTGAAACCTTAGCTTTGAATTTATGTAAAAACCAAGTGAAGGATCAAAGAGGTGGCCACGGACTACTAGTGATCCGTGGACTGCACTTTGAGAACCATTGATCTAGAGTAGACCAGTGTTTCGCAAAGTGGTCTGCAAAACTATTCTGAGAACCCTTCTAACTGGCTGCTCCAGTGTTTTTATTTACCAACTCCACAGCCATGGAGCCTCGCAGCTCCCCTTGGCTGCAAATGGTGAACAGGAGCCAGTAGTCAGTAAGTCCCCAAACTGGTATGTTGTCTTGTATTAAGGAAATTAAAGTTGTTCTGCCTATCTAACTTGTTTCAAGGGGACAGTGTCCCTTTATAAGCAGTGGGACTCTCGCAGCACATAGCAAAAATGCCAACGTGATAGAAAGAAGCTACTAAGTTAATCCAACAACAGCAACCACCAGAGAACAAAGATGGTATGAAATCAATAAATGAATTATTGAACACATTAGAAGGAATGCTCCAAGTTCCTTGCTCAGAGATTGAGCTGGAGAATTGCCAGCAAGACTTACCCATTCCTCCCACTGCCAGAAAATAGTATGCACGCATATGGCAGGAGAGGGAGAGGGGAATTTCAGCTGCCATTTTCTGCTCCTTGTCTAATCTTCCAATTAAAATTCATGTTTTACCTGTTTTCAGTAGTCACAGGATTAGCTTTGAAAAGCCTACTGTAAAATATAATCAAAAGGCTCACAGTCTTCTCCATGGCTGGTAGCAGTGGCTACTGCAAAACAAACCAACAAAAAAAATGCATCTCCTGCATTGTTGTGGCACTTTAGAACAATGTTTGCATTATTATGATGGATTTTTTTGCTTTAGTCTGACTGTGGTGGTTTCCACTGGATACCTTTGTGTTCAGCTTTTTTAATGTTTTTAATGTGTTTTTAATGTTTTTGAGTGTTTCTACTTTTCTGCATGTGCATGTCATTCGTGTACTTTCCTCTAGAATATGCTTATTCTGTATGGCTTGTATTCCTACTGTAATACTCTTCCTCCCCCCCCCCCTTTTCCCAGGATACCCCTGGATTTCCAGATTTTTGGCTTTCCTTGGTGGGCTTTTACAAGACTCAAGGGCGGCAGGTTTGTATCATTTTTGGTGGTGCCCAGAACAGAACCAAGTAGAGCCACCCCCTCTATTTACTGCCATTCCCACTTACCCTGGCTGTAAGTGATTACACAATTAACAGAACGGCAGAAGCAATTCCAGGAATACAAACACAACGGGTAGGAGGACAGGGTTTCAGTGCCAGGCAGTTGGCATGGACAGTGCCAATGGTAATTTTTGGCGCTTGTAAAGAGCTGGTCGTCCTGTGGAGCAGTGCAGTTATCCAGGCCAGGGATCCTCAAACGTCATTCCATAATGGCCCCCTTCTGACAACAAGAAGTTACTGTGTGACCCCTGTTGGGGGTGGGGGTGGGACAGAAGCTTGAGCCCTATCCAAAGCCATAAAGGCTGAAGCCAAAGCCTCCTTCCTACTACGTCAGGCTGAAGCCTTGGCCTTTAGCTTCACTTCCAGGCCCCAGCAAGTCTAACACCAGCCCTTGTGGCCCTGACCCACTGCTTGAGAGGCACTGGTTACTTCATTGAAAATCAGAGGGAAATTGAAAGTAAAAAGTGGCTCAATATTGAAGTTTTGGCAAATGCACTCAGCTTCAGAATACAAGTCCAGCCAGTTCAATACTGTAAGCTTAAGTGTATGTGCAGTCCATTGATATTTTTTTTTAAATAGGATATAAAGACTTATTTCAGTACTTCACCCAACAAGGATGAAGCACATTTTACAAGATTCCTCCTAGTTCCTTGGCAAACGATCTACTTCTAAAATATTCTGAAATGCTGGCACAGCTCAACTGAGTTGTATTTTTAGATTTAATCAATCGATTATACAAGTCAATGAATTTTCAGTTTGCTGAAGACAAAATTGATGCATCATAGAAACCAATAGTCCTTGTTGCACAAATTAGGTCCAACATATTCCATAACAGGTTGACCATGCCTACAAGATGATAAAAACAGAATGGAGAGAGGATCAGCAAATACTAATATTAGCAAGATAAATTCATGTAAAATATTGAGAGAGTTAAAGGTGACCTACAAAGCGGGGGGGAGGAGGAAATGGATGGATGACTCTTTTCTTCATTTAAACAAAAACTGGTCTGGTAGCACTTTATAGACTAACAAAACATGTAGATGGTATCATGAGCTTTCGTGGGCACAACCCACTTCTTCAAATGACTGGAGTTTCTTCGCAATATTTGAAAGTCTGAGAGATTCTTAAAAATGCAGCAAAACAATGTATTCAAGACCAGATAATCTAAATTACATACATGCCAGAATAAGCCCAAACCCTTCTTAGGCTTTTTAAAATATACAGTAAGGAAGTAAAAATAAAGGCACAATTTTTCCCTTTTCAAGAAGAGCTGTGTAAACTGTGGAGAAGAGAGAAAATATTTTGACTTGTCTTGTTGATTCTTTAAATCATTCAATTCCTTGCTGTCCTGCCTTTCCCAGTACCTGTTACTTACGCTTGCTTTGAATCTGAATCCAAGTCTCTGAAGAAGAGGCAAAACCCCATAAGGGCTGTAAGCCTAGTACTTTTAATGGGACTACTATTCATCTCTTCAGCTGTACAGGCTTTAACTCATTCTTGCATTTTCTCCTCAGATTTGTGAAAGAAAAGAGACCCACCATTTCTCCCAACTTCAATTTCCTGGGCCAGCTGCTGGATTTTGAGAAGAAGATTAAGACCCAGACAGGGCAGCCCGGTCCAATCAGCAAGCTGAAGCGTTTGCATTTGGAGAAAAGCAGCGAGCATGGACTGGTCCCAGAAGGTGGACAGAGCAGTGGCCTCTCCACTAATCAGCTTGGCCCTATCTCTACCTCTGAGACTGTGGAGCAGAAGCCAGTGGACTCTGCAAGTCTGCCATGCTTGCATTCACCATTGTTAGAGGACAGCCCGCTGGTGCAGGGTATAAACGGACTCCACGTGTCCTCGGACAAGGTAGAAGACAGCAACAGACTGAAGCGCTCGTTTTCTCTGGATATCAAATCAGTATCCTACTCAGCAAGCAGCAGCTGTGTGACTGCATCGGTGCAAGGTTTTGCTGCGTCCGAGGACGCTTTAAAGCAGTTGAATGTTTGTAGTATTCTAGATGGCAGCAACAAGCTGTGTCAGTTCTCCCCTGTCCAGGAAGTTTCAGAGCAGACGCCAGAGACCACCCCTGATAAAGAGGAGGCAAATCCTCCTGAGACCGTTCAGAATGCCTGGCACCTGGATAGCCAGAGCAAGCGGCAGCACATGGGGAGAAGCACCAACAGCAGCACAATTCAAAGGTCACTGTTGTACCCACTACATCGGAGTGGGAGCATGGAAGACAACTACAGAACAAACTTCCTGTTTGGGCTTTCCACCAGTCAGCAACATTTGGGAAAGTCTGCTGCTGGGCTGGGCCTCAAAGGTTGGCACTCTGACATCTTAGCTCCTCAGACATCCACCACGTCCCTCACCAACAGCTGGTATTTTGCTACGGAATCCTCACACTTCTACTCTGCTTCTGCAATCTATGGGAGCAATGCCACTTACTCTGCTTACAGCTGCAGCCAGCTGCCGACTGGCTGTGACCAGGCAGGCGCTGTGCGCAGGAGGCAGAAGCAGAGTGACCGAGGGGACTCAAGACGCAGCTGGCATGAGGAAAGCTCCTTTGAAAAGCAGTTTAAGCGGAGAAGCTGCCAGATGGAATTTGGGGAGAGCATCATGTCAGAAAACAGATCCCGAGAGGAACTGGGAAAAGTAGGCAGCCAGTCTAGTTTTTCAGGCAGCATGGAAATCATTGAAGTATCCTGAGAAATGGCAGACAATTGTGACACTGTAGCTGGTTTATTTTTCCCATTGTTTAAAACAATTCCCTGTAAATCTGAAATTTTTTTAACCGGGGCTTCAGTTTCAAGGCAATGAATAGATTTATACAAGACATGAAAAACTAATATCTGCACTGGGGATATTGCTTTTTTGTTTTTCTTCCCCTTAAGATGGAAGGCTAGCTGTTTCAGAAATTTTTCCTGACAGATGAGGTAGTTGTGTAACTGTGTAACAAACTGCACATCCTTTAAACAAAGTTCTGTTGGTGACCGGACATCTTCCTGGTTCCACCAAGACATATTGCTGAAAAAAAAAATCACAAACTAATTCTAGTCCTTTCCCTCAATTCCTCCTCCCCCCCTAATCAACCATGCACCTTAGCCCTGAGACTGAGCCAGCTTCTTGATAGAGATCTTTTTCTTTAAGGGCAAAGAGGTGGTGAATCCAAGCAAGTGATAACTGATCACAGCAAGGCTGGGTTAAAAACCAACTCTCAGACCATATTGATGTTGTGATTATTCTAATCGGCAGGTTTGAGGTGACTTGCCAGAAAGCTGCTTTAGAGCAAAACTCGTACCTCAAAAAATAAAACAAACTAGAACTTTCCTGGCTACCCACTCTCTGGTAGTCAGTTGGCAAGCAGTGTGAATAGATGACTGGCCATACAGTGATGTCTATGCACAAGTTTCTCCATTGGCTTGGAGACTGGTGATGAAATGTAATCTTCTCAAACATGCTCACTCCCCATTCATTTACACATAACCAGACTGGGTGTTTGTGTGTGATTGATGCTGGCTTTCAAGGTGTGGATCAGTCACCTCTAAATGGGATACCAAAGGAAGAACTGAATGCTAGCTCTTGCACAATTGCTTTAAATCTTATCCCCCATTCATGGTGCTAAGTGGCTGGGTGAGAATTAAATAGGTGACGAGAGAGCACTTTGGGTTTGTCCTCTACAAAAGTAGTGACAGCATGAGAACTGCCCCATGGTACAGACACCCATCTGTGCTGTCCCCATTCTCTAAAGGAGAAGGCTTAATGTCTACTTCCCTCCTTTAAAAAAAAATTGTTTCCATATCCTTGCCCAGATCATGAGGATTCACTCGTAGCTGGGTGCACATCCCTCTTGTTTAATCTTCAAACCTTGTTGGACCCACTAACTTCGATGAGCAGCCTCTAAAGATGGAGCCTTGATCATCCAACAGGGACGGAAGGGATGCCATATTATCCTTCACAAGCCTTAAGAAATAAGATTTTAAAAGAAATTGAGAGCGTGCTAGAGTGAAGAGAATTTCCCATGATGATCTAAAACTAACCTGAGACTCTGGCCACTGCAGTCCCTGTTGCCACTGTAGTAGGGCTTTTACACTAATACAACATAATTTTGCTGATGGCCGGAGTTTTTTAAATCCTGCCACTGCTGTTTTGTTGTTGTTGCTGGCCAGTACCTGTTTCAGAGCCTTTAATTATCTATTAGAGATTCTTGCCAAGGAAGATCTCTTCACTCTCTTGCTGCCAGAGGGGACAGGGAGGGGACTCATTCGTTTATTTTATTATTTATTTTGAGAGGAAGAGAACCAGTTGCTGTCTCTCTCATCAGCCCCTGATTCTTGTGGTACTGTGATTGCCACTTCCCCAGGACCCTTTATATGCCTTGTTAGAGGATTATGGGATTAAAACAACAAATGATACACAGGGGTCTGACCTAAGGTTTTTGTCATTCAATCCAGTGTTGACAAAGATCACAATGTGAAAATGCTCTCTGTCCCTTCCAGTGTGCTGCAGTAGGTGCAGGGAAGGGAGGGGGGGAGATGGGTAGGGGCCCAGTGTTTGTACAGTTTCAGTGCAGGCAGCTGAAAATACATACTTACAAATGATTAATGGCTTGTTAAAGCAGTTGGCAGAGGGTTTGTCAGTTAAGCTCTGGTAGTCCCTGAAGCCCTAGTTCAAGTCAGCAGCTTGTTTTAGTTCTTTACTGTAGGTGTAGCTAGTTGGTGACTCAAATCTCAGGTTTTACTATATTGAGAAATGGACAGGATTTTGTCTTTTTGTTTGTGGCTAGGATGTGACTTAGTGTCCTATGATGAACTATTTGAAGACTAGCACTGAGAGAAAGCTTCAGAGTTGATTAACTTGATCCTAAAGAGTGCAAGACACACAGGCTGCAATGGGAATGGTTGAATCCATAGACTGTGTTTGTTGTGGGTGTGTGAAATGCAGGAAGAGGGTAGTTTGGGCAAGGGTGTAGGTGGATATCACACTGTAAAGCATATCAGGTCTTGGCTAACCCATTTACACATTGCTACTTATTTTATGTACCAAGTGACTTAGCATATAAGCACACAATGTGTGTAATATACAGAACATCTCATGTAATCCAGATTTCAGTTAAAACTACTTTAACAGTTGGAATCAAATATTTCACAAGAAAGGGGTTTGGAAAGTATATTAAAGACATCCCTCCCAGCAGAAACACAGTTGAGATCTTCTTGGCTCTTTCTGGGAAACTTTAAACAAACAAAACAAAACTTTTTTTTTCCTTTGCAACTGAAATCTGGTCTTATTGCAAACTCAATTCCAAGCATCCTCTAATCAACTGTTAAATCATGGCAGGATCAGCAGTCTCTTGGTTAGGGCTGTTGAGCACAACATAATGGGAGAAGGAAGCCTTGTAGCCTGTGTAGGCGTGGTATCTTGTCTCAGTTCTGTACTAGTATCCTGTACCTGAGAGAGGCTGGAAAATGACTTTAAGAAGTTTGGAAAGTGAGGTGGAGGCAGGGGTTGGGGGGAGAAGTGTGTAAATGTTTCATCTGAATATAATGTTCTTTGGTGTATGGCAAGCTGTTTAAATGGTTCAAAGATGACTCTCTCAAGAGCATTACTTGTATGTTATGATGAATAAAATCAGAAGTGGTACCTGTTTCTATAGAATGACTGAGAGATTGTTTGCAGTCAGCTGCAGAGCATGCACCTACCTGTCTGCATTACAACACTGTTCCAAGCAAGCAGGCGGCTAGGTCTACCCTGTGTGGTCAACTTTCCCAACAGCAGCTTGTGGACATCCAATTATTAAGTTACAGAACGGGTAGCTTTTGTAAAGTGGAGGAAAACCAATATTTAACTTTCACTGAGCTTAATCACAACCTAGCAGACGGTAGTGATTCTGCATCATCAGGTATTATGCTTGCCTGTTAGCATACCCTCCACCCATTTGAACAGAAACAGCTGTTGTATCCTTGTGTTAACTTTTTAGACTGTCTGTTATTGTTAAACACAACTGCACTGTGGTACTTGCTTTACAAGGCAGTAATCCAGTTCCCAGGAGGACAAGCTGAGGCTTTGTAGAACAGCTGTGCTACTTGTCTCACAGCAACTACTTCAGACTGTTCGAATTACCTCTGGGTGGGGAGAGAGCCCCTCATGTTCTGCCCTTCTCCTAGCATGTTCAGCATGCCCGATAACAGCTCATGCTGCTGCATGTGCAGGTGTGTGCACGCAGGGACTTTGAGGCTGGAGGGTGGTGGTGGTGACACTAGGGGACAGTGGACAGGCCAGCCTTGTCTCACCTTTGAGACTAAGTGGAAGCTGTTAGAGTAAGTGTGCTGCTTTCTTTTCTGGGATAAGCTAGTGAGCTTAAACTCTTACTTCCCTACTCCTAGTATTCTAGGTAAGAGACCGTTTAATCAGTTAACCAGTTAAACATAATGTTTATTCCCTTAATTGCTTAAGCAGGGGCAGGAGACTGGGCTGGAATTCCCCTGCCCATGGAGTGCTGCTTCACCAGGTTAGGCCTGCCACAAACAGGGAAAATAGAGTTTCTCAAATTTGGGGTCCTGACCCAAAAAGTAGTTGCAGGGAGGGGATCACAAGGTTATTATGTGGGGGTGGGGCTTAGCTGCCAGAGAAGCAGCTGGTGGCCAGGTACCCAGCTTTGAAGAAGCACCCTGCTAGCAATACCACACCATCCTTACTGCTGCTCACAGTGACTCTGTCTTAAGAGCTAGGCTTTCAGCCTGCAGCTGACACTGTCCAGCTTTCAAGGCAGTCAGTACCTCTAATGGCAGTGCAGAAGTAAGGGTAACAATGCCACAACCCCCCCTACAATAATCTTACAGTCCTCCCTACAACTTGATTGGGGCAGGATCCCTACAGTTGCAACACAATAATATAAATAGCTGAAGTCACAAAGTTTACATCTCTAAAAATCCTACTGGTATTAGGGATAAGCGACTAGTTGACTGATAGTCCTTCGACTCGTTGCTTCCCCCCTCGCTTCTACCAGAGGCAGTGGCGGGGCGGAGGGGGGTGAAGAGCCAGGTACTGGGGAGAGCAGACTTATGTTGGTTCACCCCAGCACCATCTTGTGGGGACCAAGTGCAAGCTGGGAATCGGGTGATTCCTGGCTTGCTCCCAGTCCCAGATGCTGTGCCTCTGCTTTTAAATGTTTTGGGCTAACCCTGATGCGGCTCCCCAGCTTCTCAACAAATCTACTCGTCAACTAAATTTAATGTCCCTAACAAGTATGAAATTGACCAAAATGGATTATGAATTTGGTGGAGCCCTAGTGTTACTACCAGATGCTACAACTCCCACAAACCCTTGCTTCTCAGTTATTAAAATCATTCCCCCCCTAAAAACAAAGGCACTGATGAACTTGGGGTATAAAGTTCTATTTACAGTATTAAAAAGGAAAAGAAAGTTCTGTATTTCTCCTTCCCTGGGAAGTAGCATCACCCCATAACTACCTATCTTACTTTTGTGCTTGCTTCCAGTACCAAAGAAATGCTTGAAACCAATACATGGAAAACAGAGTGACATCTGAACTGCTTCAAGTTCTTATAAGAAAGAAGGGCATTTTGAAAGCCTCCTCTCTACTACTTCACTCTGCTCTCAGCAAGTGGAGTTCTGATTTAAACAGAACATTTTGCACTTGAGTTCTCCTTGAGAAATAGACCTTAAAAGGAACAATGGGTCTGCTTATCTTCCAATTGTTCCTCACACCCACTACGCATACAACAGCCAGCCTTTGCATGATTTACTGTACTCTGCCAACCCTCCTGTGCTCAATGCTGAGGCTGTCAGAGCACTGCAGCAAGAGACCCCACACCATGGCGCTAGCAGAAGAGGAGATAAAACGGGTAAATGAATGACAGTTGAACTCACCAAAAGCTAGTCCGCTGCATCAGCAACTTGCACACTGCTACAAGCCAGTTCTACTAACATCAAATCTTCCTACTATTTCAGGCCTAGTGCTGCTTTTTCACCTGTGGAGCCTCTAGGTCTAGACAGCAAAGAGAACCACAGGCTACTTCTGGCTATGTCTAGACTACAGAGTTTTTCCAAGATACCAAAAACCCTGCCGTGTCCAGGGAACGCATCTGCTCTTCCAACACATCTTTTGTGGAAGAGCAGATGTGCTATTTTGGAAGAAGGGCTCTTCTGAAAGAGGAGGGTTTTCCGAAATTTGGTCCAGTGTAGACTGTCCAAATTTCAGAAAAGCCTCTTCCGACAAAACAATTGGAAAAAGGTACGCAAATTGCATACCTTTTTCTGACAAAAAGCAGCAGTGTAGACATAGCCTCAGTGTTGTGTAGATTTCCAGACTCACTCTAGAGCCCAGCCTCTAGCCCCCTCCTATGACCCAGACTCCAACCTGAGCCTAGAAGTGTACCTGGCACTAAAACAGTCTTAAGCAGCTAGTATGGGCCAGCCACAGGTATCTAGTTGCTATGTAACCATGCCCTTAGTTTCATATGAATGCCAGGTTCCAGAGCTGGGTCATTCAGTCTAGGGTTCTATTGGATAATTTGGTCTACATCTTGAACGACAACAGAAGACAATGGCAACGTAGTTCCTTGAGTAAGTAATCGGCATTAAGCATTTCAAATTTGGCAAGACAGCTGTAATCTTTCAATCCAGCTCTTTTCCAGATTGTTCAAGCTTCCCAATTTAGGCTTCACTACAAAGGTTTCTGGTCATTATTAGCCTTGGACAACTGGCAAACTACCCAGCTAGAGTATCACTTGAAGTTCCACTGGAGGTCAGGTGTTCCAGATGAAACAGTCAGGCATGAGACATAGCTGTGTTTCTGGAAGCAAATCTTCAATTATTGTTTGTGCTGCTACAGTATTAAGGACAGCTGTTTATAAATAAAAACGAGAAAGGGAGCT